TTGTGTGTTTAATCCTGCTAAATGCTGCTCTCTCTGATCTTACTTATTAACATTTGAAGCCTATAAAGCTAGGGTATCAGTTATCTGAAACTAGTAGCATATAAACATTTTAATTAAAAGGAAAAAGAAGAGGGAAAATAAGATCAGTATTGTGATGCATGCTCTGTGGGAAAGGGGTATACACAAGTATTTTATTACTTGCTTTGCAGAGTATTGGAAGATGTGTTTTGTTTTGTTGTTTTTTTTTTGTTTGTTTTTTTTTTTGTTTTTTTTTTTTTTTCCCAGAGAACCTGATGTCCAAAAGACTTATATTGATTTAGTGTTTCTACAGCTTCAGCTCTATATATTTTATAACCAGGAATGTCTTTATATGACTTAAATGTGGGTTTTGGTTGGTACAGAGAATAATTTACTCTCTAAAGTTTTGTCGTAGTGAGGGGGGAATGGTGGGACCTGTAGCAGCAGCAATAAGCAGGCCTTATAGGTGCATGAAGTTGTCTGTGTATGACAAGAGTAACAGGAATGGGTAGACTTTAAGCACCAAATTTGTAGGAAAGGAATTAAGCCTGCAGAGCTGTGTGCTACCATGCTTCTAGTGGCAATAAATACTTTTGAGAAGAAAATTAACAGAGATAATATCAGTTTAAGCTTGGCAGTTTTTAGCTAATACAAAAAAGAGGCCGTTTATTCCATAATTTTCAATGAAGTAAACATTCTGGAGTTGTGTTGAGGTGGAGGTGTTTAAGGCTCTTGCCCTTCCTTCTTCTTAGTGCTTGTACAACTGGTTATACAACTATACTGTAAAGCAAAGCAGGGAACATACTTAAAATATTGTAAAGATTTTGGTTGTTTTTTTTTTCTGTAAGATCAATCAATTATGCATTCGGAGTAACAGGATGACCCTATGAATGTTGTGCAAGCACAGCTCAGGGGGAACAGGCAGAGCCCAGAGGTATTTCCAGCAGCTTTACAAGCTCCACATCTTGTTTTGTGACACCTCAAACCAAGTGGTACATACATGTAGCCATGTTGATTCCAAGGCCTTGTTGTCACTTCGGCTATGAAGTTGGTTCAAGCTTTGTTTTGAAGCTATGGATAGGATATGTGCTAGGGATATGTTTTACAGTAGGCTTGATGCTCAGCAAGGGCTAGCTGCCCCTAAAAAGGGTCATCCTATTTTTAGCCTTGTCACTACTTTTTCACTGTGTATCAGTTCTCTAGACTTGATCTTCTGTCAGATCAGCAAGTTCTCCAGTCCACCAGAATAAATATTCCTGTATTTTCCATCCGATGGCTGAACTGATCTGACTCGAAGGGGCAGGTGTGCACAGCAGGGGCCAGGGCTGCAGGAGCAGGCTCACTCCTCTCACAGGATTTCCAAGGGTGCAATTTCAGGGACAGCCCACCATCACTGGCTTATGGGGTGGTTGGGCTCGGTGGTACTATGGATCTTCCTGCATGAGGAATTACGGACAGTTTTAAACTAAAAATCAGCTGAAGATGAGCCAAGAACTGGGACGAGGGGAGGTCTTCCCTCCCCCCAAAACATCTGTTCAGTGATCTCTTGCTGTTCATGCTTGCTGAGATGGGAACAGTACAGCTGCTCTGCTTGTGGCTGTTAGACTCCTGCCCGAGCGGTGAGGAAGAAAAGTCCCTCAGGCACAGTGCTGTGTCATCTTGGCCTTTGCCCTTGTGCAGTAATGGATGTGTACGGGAGAGGCATGTCTCAAGTGCAGTGGCAGCAACCAGCAGCGCTTGGATCTCTGTTCTCTTATATTTTCGATGCCTGGTGTTGGCCAGTGGTTCTCCTAATGCTTTAAGCCTGTTCTGCTGCTGAAACAAGTGGTTCCACATGCATCTTCAGCTAGACCCTTTCTCATGCCCACACAGCACACGTGATAAACACAAGCTCAGAAACCTGTCCATGTCAAAACTAATTGGCAAAAGATGGACTGATTGGTTTTCTAAATTTGGTCACTTCCTTGATTCATTTTGGTGCATGTGAGCACTGAGAGGGAGGAATCAGCATGGGAGAGGTAGTGAGAAGCTGTGGTGCAAGAGCTTATACAGGTTTGGCATTTCATGGCTTTCAGGTTCAGATAGATCAGTTCAAGCATCTCAGCAGCTTACAGACTGCTAAAGGGTGTGTTGTCCCTCCTGGTCACATGTCATTCCATGCATCAATTCTAGAGTTTTCCCCCTGTGTTTTGTGCCTCTTTTTTTTTTTTTTGTCTGTATATGTGAACTGATTGAACTCACTGAACTGTCAGAAAACTTTCTATGGTGTGATGGCCCTTATTTTCCTGGTGGGTTTTTTGGTGGCTCAGGGAACTAAGTGGGTGGGTGAGGGTCCAGCTGAGCACTGGAGCTTGTGTGGTGGATTGTATGTGATTTCCCCCTTCTGAATGCTACAAGCGGTTGTATTGGTTCCACTTCTGTCTTATTCGACTTCATAACATTGCATGAGTTTGATCCTATCTCTTCTCCATTTTATTCCCCAAACATTAGCACTGATGAAGGATCTTCCACTTCCTGTGGCTTTTAATAAAACTCTTCAGAAGAATCCCTGGCACTTCCCCTTGGACATTTAAGTGTTTTGGAGCCTCATGCCAGTGGCTTGTGCCTTGGATGGTGGCAGGATCCACTGGTTAATGAACTTGGGAACTGGCTTAGCTGGAACTCAGTCCAGCTTTTCTTGTTTTTCTTCCGGACATCTTTGTGCACCTTTCACAATTTGTTTATTGAATTGGAACAGACATTTTTTTCTATGTCCATGTTAGAAATTGCTATGCTGTGATTGCATTAGCACCTGGTCCCTTCAGAAATGGTTGTATTTGGAGAATGGGAAAATTTTCGGTAACTGGTGCTGTTATTGAGTTCCTATGTGCTGCTTGAAGCTAACTATTGAACAGGAAGGCAATCATGGTGAATTTTGAAAGTTAGGGTGGTAGGGTTGTAATGTGCTGCTGTCTAAAATTAAAAGGATTAATAATTGTATTGTGACATTGAATCTCTATTAGCCCTTGAAATATTCTGTTCAAAGTGTTGGTTTTTTGTTTTTTTTTTAATTAGTCTTTCAATCTTAAACATTCTATGCCAAGAGTGACTTGCATAAGGTTTCATCTTTAAATTGGTTTGAGTTATCAAAGCACAGGAGACTCCTGAAATGGCTTCGCTGAATGTTGGGCCCAGCACAAGAATTGAATTCCCACATGTGCTACTTGCAGTTTCATTCTAAAGGGCTGTCTGGAGAAAGGCAGGAATGAAAGTGCTCTTTCAGCTACAAGTACAGTACTTCAGCAAAATCAAATTTAGCTGTTGTTTGAGGTCAATGGGGGCTTTGTATGTCGAAAGCAAATGCTTCTGTATTGGGGTGGGGGAGTACAGTCAAACAGCTGAAATAAGCTTAATTGCAGGTTGAAGCTGCATAAGATACTATCAGAGATTTTTTTTTTTTTGGTCTTCCTGCCTGTACATCTTCCTTGTCTTATCTTGAATACTTTCTCATCCTTAGAGTACCTTCTTTCTGTGAACAGAAGACTTGACTGTCATTTCTGTGTTGCTGCTAGCTTTGCAACTGACAGGTTTGCTTTTTGAGGTATCAATTTCATATGCTTTGGGGAAATAAAAACAAAATACAATGGATGTGGGTGTGAGAGGAGATGAGGATATTTGTCTAAAACCAAAGTAATGGGAAACTTATTTGTATTTGGCTTCAAGTACATCTTATGTAAAGGGGAATCTTTTTACCATGGTGTACTTATTACTGTGGTTTAATCTAGTTTTATAACTTGGCAATTGGTGAAGTATTCAAATATCTTGAAACGCCTTCCCCTCTGGATTACTTTGCTTTTGAAATATATACTGATGTTACTTGAAAGATTGATTTTTATTTTTTTTAAATCTAGTAATATTGCTTATCTTTTGTTTGACTTGCAAGAATTAATATTACCCATGCTTCAGCCTAATTTTGAACTAAGAAATATGAACGATAGACCTAAGTTGATCTTAAATTAAATAATCGATGCCTTGAGATACTTAGTTTCTTAATGAGAAGGTTTTTTTCTTTCAAAAATGATACAATAAAGAGCAAGAATATATTGAGGGGGCGTAAAAAATGGAAGATTAATTTTATCACACTGAGTAATAGATGTCAATAACTGCCTTACAAGTTAGACCCTTTGAGAACAGTTAGGAGGCTCAGAACACTGTGGAAAATGGTCATTTGTTGTCATTTTATTGTAGTAAGAAGTTTTACAGTTCTTTACAAGCCAAGAACAAAAAATATAAATTGTACAGTGTTTATGAAAACTAAGGATGTTATATGAATTGTCTTGATAGTTATATCTTATTTTTCATTTTTAGTATATTTTCACAGAAAATTGCTATATAGAAGGTATGTGTACCTAATCTAATAATTGTGACTAAAAGGGTGATTTTTCTTTCTGCATGTGAAAAATCATAATATGGGTTTTGTGGTAAGTAGTTGTGTTGTCCTTCACTAATGACATGGTGACTAAACAGTAACTTGTGAATTCATGTGACTATTGTTAATTATGATTATTATGTAGTAAATAAGGATATGTTACCATGCTTGTCTTTCATTTTATAGTTCCCTTCCACAGTATCAGGTGTTCAGGTTTCAAGAAGAGTTCATTATAGGTGTTCCCCTTCCCTGCCTCCCCTTAACTTACTGCTAGAAGTAATACTTCCAATATTTTCTAAAATGATTTTTCTTTGTGAGCTATGTATTGACCATAAAATAGCAGGGCTGTAAGGGTTTGTATGTATGGGTCATGCAAATCAATCCATATGGCTGTATTTGTATTACTGGGCAGACTTCGTAGACTTTTTAGGAAAGAGCATTGGGTTACCTGCAAGGTATCTTTTATAGAAGATCTTTTTGCTGAGTTATAGGAAAATCCAAATTTTCAAATGTCAGCTGTAAAAGAAGGGTTTTATCAGGCTTCTAAATACTGGGTTGTATGTATCAATTCCAGGTTTATAGAAGAAGGGAAAATGGCTCAAGAAACTAACCGTAGCCAAGTGCCTATGCTTTGTTCCACTGGTTGCGGATTTTATGGGAATCCTCGTACAAATGGCATGTGTTCGGTGTGCTACAAAGAACATCTTCAAAGGCAGAACAGTAATGGTAGAATTAGCCCTCCTGGTAAGTAATGTTAACATACATCTGTTTGAAAAATGCAAAATGACACAGTAGACAGCAACTTGCTTCTTGATTGTGTCCAAATACCAGAAGTGTGGGAGCATTAGTGCAAACCATTTTATTCAAGTATCTTACTTTATGGAATGAGCTTGGGTGAAATGCTCGTAATATAATTGTGCTGTGATTAATCTGATCAGAAGTAGACTCCTGCTAATACCTTTTATATTAATCTGTTTCCAATTTGAAGATACAAAAATGCAGAAAGTACTATATCAACATATTTTTCCTGAAATTACTGGCAGTAGAGATAATGTTCAGCTTGGGGAATGTTTGTGAAAAGCATTTAAAGTGAGGATATTTAATTTCTACAGCCTGATGCTGCAGGATTAATCTGTAGACACTTTTTTAAGAACAGTTTCTCTTAACTTCAGATAGATACTTCTGTTCTTTTTGGCCCAGTGCTGCATGTAATAGGGTCTTTCCTACAAAGCAGATTTCCCATTGAAAGAAATGCTGTCTTTCTGCATTCACTCGAGAAAAAGCTAGAGGGATCTTCTCCTTTAAGTTAATGGTAGTGCCCTTAGAAAGAGGAATCCTTTCTCTGCTCTGTTCACTCCAATATTTTCAACTTCAGCATGTCCTTCTGGGAGATGAACGGTTAGGGAGTGCTTCCCTGGAGCTTCTAAAATGACTCTTCTGGCTTGGCTGAATACTGACAGCAAGGAATCTCATGGCACACTCTTGAAGACTTCCCTTCTTGATTTAATATTAACTTGACTTCTAAAATCAAAGGAATAGCTTCCATTGAAATGTGGGGATCTAGGTTCTACAACTTCAAAATGGATCCTAAGTTGACATTAGGATGCTACAGTACTGTTTCTCACAGATGCATCTTGGGTTTTTAAACAAAAACCTAGCTTATGTCAGAATACTGTAGTTTATGCTGAGAAAGCTGTTTGTAGATGCTTTAATTAGCAGAAAATACTATTTTAAAGATCCAGCTTCAAAATTTTGTGCTGTGTAACTTCTGGGGGCCTGGGGCTGGAACGTGATCAAAATATGGCCAAACGTAATTACTTTTTATAAAATTATGTTTCATTATGATATAGGCTGAGATTCAATTACTTTCCTGGCTGGTGTCATGGGATTCGAAGAATAATTGCATTGTATAACTTTTGTAATCCCAGGAAGTAGTGTAACACATTTTACATTAGTGTCTTCCTTCCAGCAACTTCTGTCAGTAGTATAACTGAGTCCTTACCGGTTCAGTGCACAGAAGGCAGTGCCCAGGAAACTCAGTCAACTTTAGATTCTACATCGACTCCATCTATGCAGCCAAGGTAAGCTGTTTCTGTCTTCTTTTGTGTTTTTATGTAAAAATCTATATAAAGATGATTAAATTAAGTGTATTGATACTGCATAATTAAATGCTAGGACCTGGATTAGGAAAACGTGTAAGATTTAAATGCTAACTTTAAAGCATGGGATCTCACAGTAAATAGTAGCTGATCTGTTAGCTACGTCTTCCATTCAAATGCAAATTAATCTTTAGAATTTAGCCTCAAATAGGAGCTTTGCCAGCTTCATGCTGTTCTACAGAGATTTGTCTGGCTAGTCTTCTGACTCCACAACGTGCAGTTGGTTGTACATTTACAAAAGGAGAGCTCTTTCCATTTTAGATATTTGAGGATTTTGTAAAATGGCAGAAAGCTGTTTACCAGAACTCTCAAATGTATGATAATGTGTTAACTAGTTGCTTTGAGAAAAGTGGAGTGTACTAGAACAGGGGAAATATATCTGAATCTTAGTACAAGTTGTGCCACTGAAATGATTTCTTATTAAACAATTTCCAACTGGATTATTCAAGGAGACATAATGTCCTCTTGTAAATCACTCAGACTTACTAAGTGCTCTCCATTTGTAAAAGCTAAATATTTGCTTATATTTAGTGGCTGCATTTCAGTTTAGAATGACATAACTAACAGTGACTTAAGTGCTTTGGAAATTTGAGAGAAAAATGTTAGTGTGTTATACTGTGGAAGCTAACTTACAGTAATATTCATTCCAACTTTCCTTTAAAAATCAGAATGTAGTAAAACACAGGCCAAGGGTGAATTCATCAGTTATTGTTGGCTGATTTTGTTCAGGCTGTTTTCTGCTCCTTAGTTTTTTTTATAGGAGGTGTTATCTCATGCTTGGATCCTGCATATGAACTGAGAGCTAGGTGCCATACTTGATGCTACATTTGGTCTTTCCATTTTTGGATTTCTAATTGGGGTAGAAAATAGATATCTTACCCTCATACAACTCTTCCGGTATGTGTGTTTTCAAAAAAAAAAAAAGAATTCATCCAGGTCAGTGCACAGAGGTGAACCAATCCAATTACAGTGCCTTGGGTTTGTTGTCTCACACAACCTTTATGATACCATGAAATGGGGGGGGGGTGGTGGTGGAAAAAAAAGGTATTTCTGATCGCTAGCTCGATTACTGGTTACAGGAGAAGTGAGTGGATGGTTGCTCTTAGACTTGAACTTCAAAAAAATCAGTGTCACTCATTCTTTTTTTCCAGAATAAATACAGGGATTCAACTTCAGTCTCTGGTAATACCTCAGAGTTCTGATACTCTGAGGAAATGTCTAGTAAATTGACAAGTCCTTTCGTAGGTGACCAAACCTGCAGTTCAAGACCTACATGCAATTCTTGGCAATTAAAATTGCGATTTCAGTGCCCTGGTTGTGTCATGGATTACTGGTAGGGCTCTGCTGGTTCATGGGCTGCTGGATAATCCAGTTTCTTGGATATAGAGTGAATCCCTAAGTGGAAGGGGAGAAACAAATTGGGCAACTGGGGTAGTGCTGCCTTTTGCTTGGGACTTCAGCTCTGTCTTAGTCCATAGTAGATCTGTTAGATGAGCAGTTTGGCTATGAGTCACTGTTGGTATTGAATCTCTCTCCCATAACTGTCCAAGGTATTAATCTGTGAATTTTCAGCCATGCTGTGATTTTTAGCAATGTGGCTGACAGGGTTGCGAAGTTTGTCCAGCACCACTTTACACTGTGAAAATCTACAGGGTTCTGAGTACAGCTGCAGGCGCCTTATTTCTGGAAACATTGATGTGCTGCAATTTTCTTGTTTGTATCACTAGAACACCAAAAGTAGCTCCTCTACAATTATCTTGCTGACTTATGTTATAAAAATCCTTGCATATTGAATGCTGCATTGTTGCTTCTGTGTGGAGGGATGGCATGCCAAACTACCCCAAAATATTTTTTCCTTTTTTATAGTTGGTTTAGTGCATTTGATATGAATTCAAGTATGTTTAACTTTTTCATTAACTCAGGTTGTCTAATATTGTTGGGATTCTGTGGTGTTTTTAAACGGTTGCAGAAGCAGCTTCAGAGCAAAAAGTTTTGGCATGGTCTTTCATCAAGACTACTCTGATGTATTTCTTTCAGGAATGCTCTATAGAACATGGACATGCCTCATAAAAATGATAACTTTTTTTTTGCCCGCCAGCCCTGTGTCAAGTCAGTCACTTTTAACAGAATCTGTAGCATCATCCCAACCGGATAATACAGCTGTGGACAAAACAGTACCTGAGACAGAAGATTTGCAAGGTTGGTGCCTAGTTTTCAGAGACAGAACTTATGAATAATGTTTTTTAAACTTTGACTGTTCTTAATATGTTCCTGTTCAAGAGATGGCTTATACTCCAACCAAATATTCTGTGAAATCAGAAGGCAAAATAAACTTTCTTTTCTTAAAAGGCAAGTCTTAAACCGAAAACTTTTATGTTTAACTGGTGATTTCATAACAATGTGACATAACAAGTGTGTTAACTAGGGTTGGAAATGAACGTCATACATCAATCTACTGTTCTGTCTTTATGCCACAGATATTACATGTAAACAGAGTTTCGAGTATCTGTTACTTCTCAGGGTAGTCGTTTGCAACAATCACCACAATTTGAGTGTATTTTGTGATACAGGGTGTTATGACAGCAGTTACAAGAACAATGTTAGTATATTATATAAACATGAAACACCTATAAAAGAACCTTTCACCTATGAACTGTAGTGGTGTAATATTTTTATCCACTGAAATTCACTTTATCAAATATAAAATTAGCAAGCCACAAACTCTGGTTGCTTGAAGGAAAGTAGCTGAGTGAGTAATTTCAACTATATTGGCCTAAAATTCTCATTGCTGCAACAGTGTAAAGATTTTTTTTTTTATCTTTGACTTTTTTCTTCTTTATGTGCAGGCTTGTAGAGCTTAAAACCAAAAAGCTTTTAATAGTATTTCTTAGGAAAATGCAAAAATCCCAGATAGTATATAAAATTTGCTCAGACTTGTAATCTGTAGACATTATAAAAGGTATTTAAAGGTAAGTCAGTAAGTATTCTGTCTTTACTTCTGCTGACACAGCTAAGGCTTTAGTGGGTAGAGTTATGTTTTGGTAGAGTACTCTAAACATAGGAGTTCGTTTTCTCCACAGATACAACATGTAATTCCTCTTAAAGATGCTAAATATAAGTTTTTTTTTTCATTGTACCTCTGGTATCAAAGTTCTGCTTTTCAGATACTTTTCTAAACCTGAGCTCTCCCTTTCTATAGGGTGTAATAGAGGAGTCATTATTCAGCTACTGTGCTGAGTAAGACCACCTACTCGGTCACACAAACAGTAGCTGTAAAGCTCAGAGAAAAGGTTTTATTGCTAATGCCACTTTGTATTAGCCTTTGAGATGTCAATTATTAGAAACATGCTTACTCTTAAAAAGATGTATTCTATATGTATGTTCTAATACCTGCTATTTAGTTTTTCTGGAGCTGAGAGCTCTTGTTGCCTCAGCTTTGACAGTGCACAGAAGACATGCTCTTAATAGTGATCAGTGATGTCTGGCCTTACCCAGCTTGAGAGAAGAGCAAGTACTGAAAGGGCTTATGCTTCTTAAGTTCTATATATTTGCACAGCAGAGGTAGGTTTGCAAGCTAGATTTTTAGTCGATATGCATCTGAGTAATACAGATACGGCTCTACTTCCATCCCTGGTTCTGTAGTATGGGGAACCAGGGATGTGCTGTGTGCCGGCTCTAACCCAGCTCCTGTGCAGGTACATCCCTTCCTGGGAATGCTCAGAAGTAGCACACCTCAGGCACATGAATATTGCACCTCAGGTTTATGTGGATATGGATGTGGCATATATCAGAGAATATAAAGGCAACTTTTGTAAGCTGATCTTCCTTACCAGCCTGTGGGGTTTTTGTGGTTGGTTTTTGTTGTGTTGTTTTGTTTTTTTTTTTTTTTTTCTTCCTGTTAGTCTCATGATTCTTCATCTTCCAGCCAGTGCCTGAATTAGTCTCTCTGTTTACATATGTATCTTACTCACTTGGCTTAGCTTTGAGCTGAAACTCTAGGTTTGCAGCATCTACTGTCTTTTTGCTTTGGTGGAAGGGTGGGCGGGGGAAGAGCTTTATTATTTTAAAATAATCTTTGATGCTTGTCCTGTAAGGTGGCTTAGGCCTGCGAAAAGACTTTTCCCAGAAAGTTTTCAGAGGAGTGTCTCTGTTCTTACCCATTTGGATAAATCTGTGCTTCTTCTAATTGTCCACCTCTAAAGCTAATTCTCCCTATGAGAAGATACGTTTCTCAGAAGTTTTGATTTCAGGGGCATATTCGCATTTTACAGTCTGTATTTCAAAAAGTGTCAGGTGTTTAGGTACTCAGCTGTGTCTTGTGTCCTTTTCTTTGTACCATAGTGATTTCTAAACTAAGAACATCACCACCGTGTAATTGCAGTTCTAAATTGCAATCCGTATTTATAACTCACTGTGGCAGGGTCAGTCTTGTTTCCTGAAGAGTTGCTTCTGTGCTGTCCCTTAACTTAAAACCATAGCAAAAGTAGTGTTTCTAGTTTGAAAGTATTTTGCTTGGAAAGTGTAAGTTTGGAAAGCAAGCAGCTTATAATGGGTGCTAAGTGGATTTAATTGATTTGTTGTCACAATTGTGCATCCTAAAGTTTTAAGAATGTAATAAACATATGAATAGTTATTTAGTATTGTCTGGCTTTGTATCATTTAAAAAAGAAAAAAAATGTCACAGAAATGCAGTAGTTGGTCACAGGCTGAAGAGCTTATTTATAATGCTACTTCTGTTGACATAGGGGAGGAAAAAAAGAAATTATGTCTGCTTTGATCATTTGTTCAGTATTTATTCTGATAAAAATCTTGCCTAGTTGGAATGCCTGTTCTGGCGCAAATTGTTCTGTGCTACTTGTATAATAAGTCAGTCTGTTGTATTTAGTTGAGGTCCACTTAACTTGCTGTTTAACAAAATTTACTAGGCTACAAAACCAGTGAAAGACTGTGTGAATAGTTAAGCTTTTTTAGATTACTATTATTATTTTTTTTTAAAGCAGATAAATGGGACTTGAGCTGTGTGCACACCAACCTTGCAGTTTGCAGACAAGCTAAAACTACAAAGGGATAAAAATCCCAAAGAGCTGTTGGGATTTGTTTGTCTCCATTGGATTTATGCATTGCAAGAGAGATAGAGGGAAATTATCAAATATGTTAATAAATCTAGATTTTACATGTAGTGATTGTGTGATAATACTTGTAACTATGGAACACTGCAGAAAGCCGAGATGCTAGATATGGTCTAATAGACTATTATTTTACTTTAATGTTCTTAAATGTCATGAACATACCATTAAAGATGCCCTAAAATGAATCTCATTAGGGTACAATGCAGCTTTTTTAGCTGCTTTCTTCTATTCTGATCACCTCTCCAGCTCATTTTACATTCCCCCCATGGGCTGCTCTACCTTCTGTTCAACATTACGGCCCTGTTTGGATTAGCCAGTCAAGATTCCCTGTTTGTTAGCCAGGGGATTAACGAGGCTGCCTCCCAGCAAGCCTGCAAGTGGATAAAGAGGGGCTTCACTTCTCTAGGAGTCTAAAACCATCCAGGTTAGGATTCATGCTTTATATTTCAGGGAGCTTTTTTAAAGGTAAGTGAAACTTGTCATAGAAGGCGGGAGCACTCCACCACATAGTTTATGGAGCTCTTAAAACTCAAGAACATAGGGCTAAAAGTATAAACCATCTTAACAGGTGGGCTCTCAGCTGCTTTGAGGCTGAAAACTTCTGAGAGCCAAAATAGCTGCTCTGATTTTTGAACTCGTGGAGAGGTCCATATATTGGCATTGCAAAATGCAATCAGTTGTGTAATATGGTGTGGTTACTATTTTGAAAAAATTAAAATACAGACTAAGATTTGAATAACTATCTAAAAGGGACGTGGCTGCACTTCTGAATGTAGCTGCCTGGTTTTGCCCTCATCTAGGTTTTTAGTGAGGTAGAACAGTTAAACTTAGTCAGCAATGACTGCATTAAAAAACTTGTTATTGAAACAATTAAGTTGCTACAGAATTTTATGTAGAGAGAACCTGGACCCAGGGTGAATGCTGTTGAACTACTGGTATCAACTTCAGTGGACCTTACAAGGGCTAGCTCAGTAGACCTTAGTGGAAAGGAATTGATGGATACTTTTGATTTTTATGACAGAACCAGGGGCTCAGAGGTAGAGTATGGTTATGATGGAAGTGTAGAAGATAATGTAGGATATCTTGATTTACTGGATGAATGCTTTGGGGAGAGAGGAAACATTAATGAGAGAGATTTAAAACTAAATTCTGTAGATAAGTCTGCTCTTATTTAATTTACCTCTTCCTAATGCTGAAACAGTATATTTTAGGCTGATTATTACTTCAGCTTAGTGTTAAAATGTTAGAAAGTATTGATCTTCTTTTTAGTATTAACTTCACATTTCATTTCTCTGGAGAAGTGGGTATTCTTCTTCCTAGGTCTGGTTCATACTCTTCCTGTGGGAACGAGGAACCTTTTTTTTTTTGAGAAGTTCTGCCTAGTAATGCAGGGGTTACAAATGTAAAAGGTCCAGAGTAAGGAGAGAGGAGAGAGCAGATGAGGTGTTGCGAATCTTGCAGCAAATGCATGGAGTTCTTTGGTGGGCAGTGGGGATGCAAGGGCTGGTGTATGCTTTATCTTGCAGGTGCTGTTTTCACAGTCCATTGGAATACACTGAAGTTCAAGCAGGGTTGGCATAAGCAAAGCTTCTGCTTTTAAGGGGAAATCCAGGCTCTGCTTGTTTTAATCAGCTATGAACATGCTCTGTGAAACAGGGAACTTCTAGTGGTCAGCCCAACTCGTGAGCTCGAGAAAAATGAGTGTGTTCATGCTTTATTCCTTTCTGGTTAGTTGGCAGCTTGTACTGGTCCTGCAAGTGCTTCTGTTCTCCAGCTAAAGGCAGAGCTGGGACGAGGGGAAGGGAGGGAAAGGGAGGGAATCAGTTCAAGCAAAGCAAGCAGCAGCATCCTGGAATCCAGACAAAGTACAGCAGCTGGGAGTGGCTGCAACATTTCCTTCGAGCTCCAAACTGGGCAGTATTGCCTTTTACCTGGCTTTTTCCTATTGCGTTCATCACAGCTAGCTTGTAGATGGATCACTGAAGACTGACACTTTGTCATCTAAAGGTGGCCTAGAGGTTGGGATATCCGTGATTATCAGAGAAGATTTGAGTCAAATCTCTAGCTTCTATGCAAAAGAAAATTGAGATCTAAAATTTATGGTTACTACAGTACATATAAGGTGACTTGTGGCAGCAGTAGAAGAATCTTCCCACTCAGTTCTACAGTGAGCAGCAGCCCTTAAATATTTTTAAACCTTTATAGTGAGAGTCATACGCACAAAGAAAATGTAAGTATGTATGTATTATCCTTGTCATTCAGGGAACAGTGCCAGTTTTTCCTAAATTTGGCTAATAGTTACAGAGGCTTTTAGTAAAACTTATGTTGAGGTAACTGGATTTTGCTACAACAGGAAATGCAAACTTGAGAATGTTAGCTGCTAAATGCTAATTCATGGCATGAAGCTTTCTTAATGAATTAATAAACACTGCAGTGTCTGTTCTGTATAACACTGCAAGAGTTCATTTTTATAGTTCTTCTGATACTTACCTTGCATCTTTTAATCGTTACTGCTTTTTATTCTTATCTTGCAAACCTTTGGATATTATCTGTCCGTTCAGAAATGTGCCCTTTATTGTCACTGAACCTTTTTTTGCACACTGTCAATTCTTAAAAATTTCAGGGCAAGGAAAAGCTCTGCTTGTAACATAGGTAGTGGGTTTTTTAAAGGATTTAATAAGCCATGTATAACAGTCTATCTTTGTTAGCTTAACCTTTGGAATATACTGTCCACGCAGGCAAAGTCTTTACAGGTGGTCAGGTATTTTGCTACCTACTGATGTTGCTTGGTACAGATGACAATATTTTGATACGTTGCAAAAGTGTAAAGTGCTCTTTCAAAAAAACCAAAAAAACAAAAAACCAAAAACCAAACAAAAAACAATCAACCCAACAACAGCAATGGAGGAAAAAACCAAACCAAACAACCCAAAACCACTACCACCCACCATCCTCCCTCATCCCCCTTCCCCCCCCCTACCCCCACCCCCCCCCAAAAAAACAACCAACCAACCAACCAAAACCAAACCTAAACATCAGAATAGCAGCACAGGAGAAAACCCCACCAGAATTGTCATGCAGAATAGCAGTCGACTGGCGTAGAACTAGCACAGAACGGAATCTGACAGTTTCTTCCTAACAAAAGTCCAGCTGCAGAGAGGTGCCTGCAGCTTTTCCCCTGACAAATGGCTGAGGTTGCTGTTGTATTCCCTTCTTTACAGCATTGGTTCTAGCTCTGCTTCCATTGACACTCCTCCCGGCTGGAGCTTGCTTTCATTCTTTGCCTCTTTGCTGCAAATACCCGTAGCTTCTGTGTACCTTATTCACTGGAGACTTGTCCTGCTGTGATCTAGCAATGGCTGGTAGGCAGAGATTGGCTCTTAGCCCTTCTTGAAATGAAGTTGGGGTTTTTGGTTTCTATTTCTGTTTTGTAATGTAAGGAATGTGCAAATACTTGAGGAGAAGCATCCAATTTCTATTTTTACCTGGGCCAGGCAAATACTACCATCACTTGTATATTCTCCCACACAACCTGTAACCTGTCTCTTTCAGATGTGAGAGAATATTATAGTAGGTTAAGAGTTGTTTTAGTGAAAGTGTCTTTAAAATTAGGTGTTTACCTGCCTCCTTCTGGGTTTCAGGATAGTGTATTTCCTTCCTGTAAGTCTGTGTATCTTGAGCTAATGGTATGTCACCCCAGGTAGTGACTAGCCCCTGTGTAGGCTTTTTCCAGGTATGCAAGAACAGCAACATCACAGTGGTAGAGATTGTTCTGAAACACTGCATTTTGTGTGACCTCAGCGTTGCAGCCTTCAGCAAAAATAATGTTGATTCAGTGATTGAAAGGGAGCGTTTTACTCAACTGATCCTAATAAATACAGTGCTTCTTACAAGCAGAATTTAGGACCTGGACTAGTAACACTGGTGGGGAAACATTTAGGCGTTGGATTCTCTTCCCAAATCTGACAGCACTGGATCTTACTCTTAAGCCTCATTTTAAATTATTCTGTTTGTTTATGGTATTTTTGTATTGTGAACTCCAAGCATTCATTGAATTATCTCCCTAAATTATACTGAAGGTCTAGAAGGAGTCAGTTCCACTACCCTGAGTCCATTACACTTCAGACATGGCAGCTGCAGCAAAATGGCTAACCTCAGAACCTAAACTTACAATATGGGCTCTAGATTATCATATGACTTAAATAGAGGAAGGGGAAGAAATCAGACATTTGTTTCCATTGTTCTTATTAACTTTTTTTAATGTTAGCTTCAGTGTCAGAGAATGCAGAGCCTACACCTGAAGAACAAGACAAGTCGCTTGACAAACCAAAACAGAAAAAGAATCGTTGTTTCATGTGCCGGAAGAAGGTTGGACTTACTGGTAAGAAATACTGATTTCATTTTTCTTAGACATATTTAGGCTTTAGAACTTTGAAAGATTCTAAGGGGAAAATGGGGCATGGTTATCTCTGTTGATTTAAAATAAAACTTGGCCAAAGGTGCTTTCAGCTGGCTCTTACTAGATTTAGTCATTCATGTATCATTTTGGGTTTCAACTTCCTGTCTTTAAGTGAAGTTTGTAATTCAAAATACTTGCCCTTGGAAGTCTGCCTAGCTGAGGAATTGGATGATAGTTTGCTGCCATTTACTAGCTAGCTTTGCCATGATTCAGTGAAAGGGCCTAAGTAAACTGAAGTTCTGCAGGGTGCAGATCCATAAACATAGAAAAAGATCAGGAAGACGCTAGGAATGTGTTTTGTGCTAGTGTATCATGCAACTGGTCAAGTCAAATCTTACTGTAATCGCTTAAAAATGTATTATTTGTGATTCTTATGCTTTCTGCAGCAGAGGCTCTTTGGCTGATTGGCACTGGTGACTGAGATTTATTGCTAGTGAGTGAACACATTCAGGATTTAAAACAAACCAGTATAATTAAGAATGTTGAAATGTCTAAGCTAATATTTCTGTCCACAGGGTTTGAATGTCGGTGTGGAAACGTTTACTGTGGTATGCACCGTTATTCAGATGTACACAGTTGCTCTTACAATTACAAAGCTGATGCTGCTGAGAAAATCAGAAAAGAGAATCCTGTAGTTGTTGGGGAAAAGATCCAGAAGATCTGAACTGCTGCTTCTGCTGGAATACAAAAATCTTCTGACCATCTGCAGATTAAATTGACTTGAGCTTTTTTCCTTAGTCATCAGGAACGTAGAGCAGTGTATCTTGCCTAGACCTTTTAATCATGCATGTCATCAGATGAATAGATTTTTTTTGTTTTTGTTTGTTTTGAAAATGACTCTGAACATTTATTTTCATTGCAGTTTTCTGTGGCTGAAGACTTAAGTAAACTTTACAAGTATTATCCTTTAAGATCATTTTCATTTTAGTTGAGTGCAGAGGGCTTTTATAACAAACGTGGAGAAAATATTGGAGGGCTGTGCTTTTCCAGGATAAAACATGCATGCGTTAACTTTGCAGTTTATTTTCATGTTGTATATAGCTTTTCTCTGCAGCACAATTTCCTTTTTTTTGATAATGCCTTGTATGGCACAACTAGTTATCAGTAACTGAATGTATTTTAATCATTATGGCTGCTTCTTTTTTTTTTTTTTTTTCCATTAACGAGAGGTTATACATGTTCGCATATTAGCTTGTTTGCACCCTCTACCTATTTATGTATGAATCATTTGTAATGAGAGTGTGTGCTGAGATTCTGTGTGTTTTGGTTTGTTTTTTGGTTTTGTTTTTTTTTTTTTTAAATTGGGTTTTGTGTTTGTGTGTGTGGGGGGAAGGCTGTATGCACTTCATTGACTGCAGGTTTCATTGGGATTACATCCATCGGTCTGTCTGTACACAAATATGAAGAATGATCTGAAGTACCTGTGCTGTATTTATGTTTATCCACGTCTTAACTTTGATTAAATAAAATTTAAAAAAATCAGAGCCCCTGTGGCTGTCACTGGCATCTGTAATTTGGATTTCTCTTGTTTTATTGTTACGGGGACCTTCCATTGGTAGTTCCTTTACTTACAATGTATTTTTATTCACAGAGACTGTATATATCCCAGTGCCAGCTAACTTCTGATTTATTTTTTTAACTTTTTCACCTACAACTATCAGACTGACTACAGCTTCCAGAAACGTTCTTCTCATTCAGTGATACATTCTGCCCAGGGAGTTCTCTGTGCTTCCTGTGCAGTGTGTTGCTTGTGCAGGAGTTGGGGGTCATTTGTGATGAGGTACTTAAGTTGAGGGCAGACCTACAGGTCCCACAGATGTGGCCAGTGACTGGGCTGTCTCTAAGTGCATGGGATTCTGGTTCTAGGAGATACAGCTGTGGGGTCTGTGATCCACTGCCTGACAGACAGCACGGCACAGGCTTCCTTGAAGTTAGGTGAGAGAATGGTTCTTGAGACAGTTTCTCCAGTGATATGTCCTTACTTCTGAGGTTTGAAATCTATAGACTTCGATGTTGATCGCTGCCACAACCACCCTCCACATGTTCCTTAGCAGATCTACAGACTTGTAAGTGATCCCCATTTGGGGGTAGGGGGAATTGTTCTCTTGTTGTCTTGTGAGGGTGCTCAGTAAGTTTCTTTTACGACTGCCTGTCTTGTCAGATCAGAGTCTGTGCCTCAGCCATTCAGCTACCCTGGTCATCTACATAACTTAAAAGTCGAGTGTTTCATGTAGTGTCATGGTAACAGCCAGTGCTGCTTGTTGCCAAACTTAACAGTACACTAAAGTAGAACTAATTTTTCTCCAGATGGTACTGATCTGCAGTTGAAATTTCACTTGGTGACTTGTTGCTGCTTTGAAGCATTTGTGAAATAAATGAGATTGCATGGCTTTATTTAAAACGTTAAATTTTTAATCAAAGCTGGCTACATCCTTTAAAATTCAGAATGCTCTTTAAAAGCTATGGTTGGCAATTAGTAGATAAAGCACTACATTTAGCATATAAACACTACGCAACAGAAGGAGGTTTCTCTCAGATAGCTGTGGAAAGTAATCTGCAAGACCCAATAATAAATGAAATATCTTGTTCTTGTGAAAATGGCTTAACCACAATCTATGAAGTGCACATGGCTTTTATAGTAAAGGAGGGAGTATTTCACTCTTTCCAGCAAGTTTCGGTAATGGGCTGTCTTTTTATGGGTCAAAGATCCTGTATTTCCTCAGAGCATTTGCTAAACTTCCTCTTACACAGCACGGAGCATGGAAGAGCAGCAGTGTCTTCTCTTTCATGGGTGCTTCTCAGCTTGCTTTCCTCTTTGTTGCTATTTCCCTATTCCCTAATCTCTCTTCTCTTTTTGACTTTTACCCCTTCCCTATTTCTGGTGTCTGTCTTCCTAAAAGTATCCTTTTCTCTCCTCTCCAATCTGCCTTTCATCTGACAGTGATACTGCTGGGCCAGGCAGAGAGCAGACACTGTAGATTTCACAATGGGGGGAAAACCAATCATGTTTGTATTTTCTGGTGTCTGGGAGATTGAAAGAAGAAAAAGTACAAGAAAAGCGACTGCCTTTAGAATTCACTTACTCCCTTTACCACCACCCCTCATGAAGCAACAACTCCTCTGGCCCTCCATTGTACAGTAGGAAACAAACTGTGCTGAGGGGAAGCTTGCCTTGCAGTGCCCGGCAGTGCTGACAGGGAAGCAGATCAGCATCGGGCAATTTGCTTCCACACCTATCATTCTCAAAGCGATCTAATAAACCTCTTTTGGCCTGGCTTGCGCAGGTTTCTGAGAGTTAAGAGTATTGACGCTTAAGAATTGCATGTAATCTTTGTTTGCTTTGGCACTGGCTCTGTGTTATCATGGTGGTTGATCTGCTGCTCGATCTGGGTAACTAGTGACGCTTTATATTTTGTGTCATCAGCTTGAGGTTAGCATATGAACATTTTAATATCAGCACATTCACAGCACTACAACGCACTTGAGTAAATACATCTTTTCAAGATGTGCTGCACAAGCTTTCAAGATGTTTTTGGTTTGTTTTTTGGGATAAGCAGGTTCTACCTAAGTCCTGTAACCTTTGCGTGAAGCATCTTCACTGTGTTAAAAACATTTCTGACAGTAAGTAGGATGGAGATGTACCTTAGCTACAGGAATTTTACAGGCATTTTTACAAGAGGTTGTGCTAGGCATTGTATTAATTAAGACCCCTTTTCAAGCAGCACCACGTGAGTTTGCATCTCCATTAGTGAAGAGCTGTCACAGATGGGCTGTCATCGATGCTGTTGTGTCATCTTACACTGAATATCTGGCTGTACAGCTTGCTGCATTTCTTCTAATGACTCTTGTCTTCCAAAAAAAAAAAAAAAATTGAGCAGGAAACCAGTTCTTTGCCTTGGCAGCCACAAGTGTCCAACCATTTTTATTGAAAAGGGGTGGTCCATGCTATTTAGTTCTAATTTCAATGATCTTTCCTTGTTGGTTTCTACTTTTCCTGAATACAGGTGAGTTTCCTTCTGCAGGTGGGAGAAAGCTGGGACTGGGAGCAGAAAGACCAACTTCCCTGTTCTTTATGGTTGATTACAGATATATCTCTGTTTTTAAGCTGCTGGAACTGTCTGGAGAAAATGGAAGGACTCACTCAGGTGCAGCGTTACAAAACTAAAAAGCAAAGTGCAGTTTCAGGTGTGAGTTGTGCAACTTCCTGGGGTTGCTGAGCTCCCGGTGGAAGAGCCGCTCGGCGGTGTGGGCACGGTCATTTCACCATCGCTCTGGCGCAGAAGTGACCCCTCAGGTCAGTGTGTGGGGTTACCTCCGCTCTTGGAGCTGTCTGCTCCCATCCTCCACCCACAGCAGCGTACCTGGGAACAGGCGGCCCCAGTTTCACGGGAGGGTTTATTGGGCAGGAAGAGCCCGTTGGTGTTTCTCCACTGCTCCCTCGCGGGGACCAGTTCACAGCTGCTGACTCATGCAAACCTCAGGCACTGATTAACCACTGCCCAGGGGAGCAGGCAGAGGGGTGGGATGGAGACGGATCAGCGATTGGTTTGGGGCTGAGGAGGGAGGGTGGGATTTGGTGCTTCCGTGCTCTGGGTTACAACATCTGGAGAGGATCTTCTGCTTAGGAAGTCGGGTAGCAGCCCGGGAGGTGGGTGCTCTCCGTCAGCAGAGACCGCTCGGGGTTCAGCATGTCTTTCATCCAGGTAGACAAGGACTCAGATTTTCCTCTCCAAAATCTCCCCTATGGGGTTTTCTCCACTAAGGAGGAGGTGAGTAACAGCAAACTTTGTCCTTGGGGTGTTGTAGTTGTTCCAAGGCTACGAATAAGAGCAGAAATTCATGCAACCTGGGATAAAGGAAAACTTCACAGCCTGAGACACTTGCACGGGCTTCCTGACTTGACAGCAAAACTGTAGCTGCCACATTGTCTTTTTTCTTAAAGTGGTTATTTTGATGACAGCTTCTTTGAAATTTCACAAAAGAAAAAGTTATGTTAATACTTAGAAGTACTTTGGATAATACAGTAGTTTTTGTATGGTTTTGACTGCTTTTGTGAGATCATTAGATCTGTGTTTGATCCTTTCTAAGTAGAGGCATGGCACAGTTCACACTGACTCTCTTTTAAACTCGATCCCTCATTTTCTTCGTGACCGAGTATAATCGCACAGTCACTCTTAAGAAGCCACATGAAATATTTATTTTAATCTGCTGTTAATTCTGTAGCACCCAGTCCCTCTTGCACAACATCAGTTGACATAAGGGAAGTCTGAATTGAAAACACTGGATTTGCAAACGAGTGTTGTTTTCTGGTCTGTCAAGAGCCTGCTTTTGGTGAGCTTGTTTGGTGGCTGCAAAAGCATTAAACCAGGGCACAAAATGTGCAGATGACCTGTTGTGTTTTATTGGGTATACAGGGCCAGGGCCTTATATATTTTATGATCACAGAAGAAAATATGGTTCAACTTTTATTCTAAGGAGATAGTAGCTGCCAATTCCCATTTTCATGAGGACTGAGCCCAGCTAGGCTGAACCTCACATCTCTCAGAGCCCGATGGGCTTATCCATGCTTATCCATTCTTTTTAAAAAAGAAAAAGAATTTAAACCAGAAGATTGTGTTTTCTGATGTGGTATTTTCCAAAGATAAAACCAAGATGGCTTGTTTAATCTCTTCCTAGACACGTGTGTTGCTATCTAGCAAGTTTGGATTATTTTTCTGCCTTCTCCAGTAACTGTTCTCTGAAGCAAACATCTTCACTCAAACCCTATGAAAAGACAGGCAAGGGCTTCCAGAAATTATTTAGGAAAGCAGTGTTCTAAAACTAGCACAACGTTTTAACGATTTCAAGCTAAAGCAGTTGATGTCTTTCCTGACCATCCCAGTTACAAATTAAGCTGACGTGACCTTTAGTTTTTTTTCTGCGGGAATGTTTGCTGAATAAATAATTATCACATTTTGAATCTTGTTTAGAAATTAAAGGTTATAAAATAGGTTTAATAGCATGGATTTTCACAGTTACTCCCTTTTGGTAAACCAGTTTTCATAACGTCTGCAACTAGTTTGTCTTTGCCTAAAGACACGAATAATTGAAATTTGCAGTGTTTTTTAGTGACATTTGCATGCCCCCTCCCCTCCCCGCCCCGTGCAGCTGTGGCAGAGCTGCAGTGGGATGGCCCGTGCTGCATCCCCGCCGTCGCCGCCGGCTCCGCACACGCTGGGCGCCGGCCCTGCCAGAGCTGCGCCGGGTGAAGAGGGACTTTGTGTCTTCGGTGGCATCTGGCCGGCGAGCGCAGCCACGCTCTGCCGTACGCGTGGGAAGCTGTGCCGGTGGCGAGGATCTAGGCCAGGGCTGGCGAGCAAGTGGTGGGCTCCTTGCATGGCATCAGGATGGGTTACGTAGGGCAGCCTCATTCGTTGTACAGAAATAATGTGGCTGAGCAAGATGTGCTACATTCCCAGTATCACCAGTGGAGTCCAGAGCACCC